GCTTAGGCTGTTGCAGAACTCAACCATATCTGATTTGTTTAGATACGCTGAATTTGTAGTCATTGTTTGTATAGTTTATTTTACTGGTTAATGTAATACCCTATTTTGAGCATCCTGATTTGCATGAATGTAGCTTAGGGACAGGTTGATTACTGTTAACATAAGTTGCTACTTCTTAGCTTGAATACCTTTTGGCTGCTGGTTTATGATGACCAATGAAGTTGGGTGTTTCTGACTCGATTTGAATTTAACATGAAAACATGTCGCCAGTAAGAGGAGACTTGTGCATGTGTATAATGTATGCTATCTGCTCTGTTTGGAAACAGCAGTACCTCAAATTTATTGCTTATATGCATTCTGGAGCTCTTGTTTAGTTGTTTTAATATGAAGAATGGACACCCATCTTTTTCATGCAATTGCAGGACATCATCCAGGAGCAGATAACTCGTGTACTGTTAGAGCGCCTGATAGTTAACCGACCTCATCCTTGGGGTTTGCTCATCACTTTTATTGAACTGATCAAGGTATTATTGTGGACATTAAACTAAAGGCTGCTGTAATTCATCTGCTGTTTTGTATCATTAGGTTCTTATTGTCCCAATATATTATACGTGCAGAACCCACGGTATGACTTCTGGAATCGTTCATTTACACGATCGGCACCTGAGATTGAGAAGTTGTTTGAATCAGTATCGAGGTCCTGTGGTGGTCCTAAAACTGTGAATGATGGGATGGTCTCTGCTGGTATCCGAGATGGTGGCCATTGACCCACATCACATATAATGGTGACTCATGTATTTGATTTCTAGTTGCGATTTTTGCAGCCATCTCAGATTTGTATATTTAGTGATGTATTTGTGCATGCAGTGATGTCTCAGATGTATCACAATATAATACTAATGCATAGTTACAAACAGTAAAATAGACAATTTAGACACTCAATTGTTGATAGCTTTACTAGATGTATTTCAGATGTCCAAATGATGAATTGTAGATTGTTTTCTCCAAAAGGTTCCATGATGTGCCAAGTAACATTATTGCTTAATGTCGCTGTCATGCTAGTGAGTTTATTAATTGCCGAGTTGTGGTTGAGAATTCTTTTTTTCCTTCTGTTCATTATCTGCAGCCTATATACACATGTAAAAGTACCGTCTCTCTGCAACATCGTACATCACACAAGGGAAGAGAAAAGTAGACGAGATGCGTATTCTTTAAGTACATGTGGGCAATCTAAAAAAAGACGGCATATTGCAGTGGCGATTAGCGTTTCATGTCTCTCTTCAACGTCGCTAGTTCCCTGGAGATGGAGGAATTCGAGATCATTGATTGGTGGCGGTACCGGACGCTCAAAGGGAATGTTGTGTGTGCCTCGCTGCAGAACCCTACCACGAGAAAACGATACAATCCCCGGCGATTGCACTAGCAGGTAAACATAAGCAGCTTGTGAGGCTTACCAGGGAGAGTGACTGCCAGAATCCTTTAAGCATTTGGAGGAGACGAAAAGGAGTCGGCGGAGTTGCCCCACCCCACTGATGTTTACGAAACCGATGATTGGCTTTAGAAACTCCATATTCTGATTGCAAAAGATAAAATAATTATTTTTATGTAGCTACCCAAATTATTCATCAACAGTCTTACTTTCCGTCACAGTGTGGTCGTTTGCATTCATAGAGTTGCTATATGTCGTCACTCGAGTGATCGCCGGAGATACGGTAGAACAGGGATTAGACGGAGACAGGGTTATAGCCTGTGGAGAGGAAGCCACCTCTGAATCGTGAATCGTATCTAGTGTTTGACGACAGAATTCATAACCTCTCGCGTGCTCTCACGCCATGACGATGTAAACCTTCGTCTGACTCTTATCCACCGTATGACATGTTGAAGACGGCAGTTCTATTGGATCCCACTCGTTGTATACTCCCTATTGGCGTCCACACATGTACCCTGGAGGAGCAGGAAAAGGGATCTTGGAGGAAGAGGGAGGCGGAGGAGGAAGAAGAAGGCGCAGCGGCAGTGTAGATGAGTCAGCGCGTGCCCAGTTGGGACATCGACGTCCCACCTCCCTTCCCCTCTTCCACCCTCCCCCTCCATCATTACCGTCCCTCCGGCTCTCTCGTCGGCTCCTTGTCTGTTCTCTCTCTCTCTCTAAGAGCTCATGTATGGTTATGTGTTTAGGCACATCAGGTCGCAGTATGTGGTGGCGGAGCTCACGTGGGAGAACGGCCAGCTCGCGCTGCACGGCCTCGTGCGGCCTCGCACCGGCAAGCCCGTCAACCTCCGTAGTCGCCGTCTCCTCCACCGCCTGGAACAAGCACCGCCGCAGCGGCACGCTCGAGTCGGTGGTGAACCAGGTCACCGGCGCCGCGCCGAGGAGCACCGACTTGGAGGACTGGCTCGGCGGGCTTGGCAGCTCGGCCTCGGTGGCGGTCGACGCGCTCGTCCCGTGCCGGGACGACGTAGCCGTCGACGGGAGGAAGCGTGCGCTGGTGGCGGGGGTGTGCTCGAGCCAGGGGAGCGCGGCGGGCTCCCTGGCCGGGCGTGTCGACAGCACCACACTGGTGACGCTCGACACGTGGAGTGAGGACGATCTTGGCCTGACCGCCACCACCACCACCACCACTGCCAACGGCTACCAATTCCGCCTCGCCGGAAACGGAGAACACAAGCTCGAGCAAAAGGAAGGCGCCGGCTTTGGACGACCACGTATCCATCAGCCACAGGAGCTCCCAAACGAAGGTTATTCCCATGCACAAACCCATGCCATACAACGACGACTATTCCGATCAAAACCTTTCTTCTTCGTTGCAATCACCTGATTCCTTTTCCTTTGACATCTTCTGGCTTCTCCGGACCTCGGATCACAAAGAATGATAGTTTGTCGGACGAAGAAGATAAGGGGAGCAGAAGAGAGGGGAAGAAGCCTTTTGCCTCCACCCAAAAGCAGAGCCGCAGCCGTCCATAACCAGTCCGAACGTGTAAGTACAAATGGATGATGACTGCTATCTCTAACATTCATCATTGTTAGAAATCACTTGCAACCTGCACAACGCTGGAGAGCTCAATTGAGTCTTTTGGACTTATTTATCTTCCCCTTTAATTCATTCAATTCATTTCCATTATGCAATGCATAGACTATATTCAACCATTTTGTTGTTATTGTTGTTGTATATTTGATCATTTATTAATTACTCCAAAAATTCTTCAGAATGATTTTTTGAAAAGAATAAGTTCTTAAATGATCTTAGAAAACTAAGTATTACTTGACTCTGAAAATTGAACTTGTTGATTACTTATTGTATTCAGAACACATTATTATATATATAGTTCATTTTTTTGTGTATTCAAGACTCATATATTTTATTTTTCTGCGAGAAAAAAAAAATCATCGAGTATGAGTACTGACTGGTCTGGTATCAATCGTCGTGAAAGAGACATGCTATGTGAGGCTAAATTACATCATTTTCACTATGGCGCCCACCATATGGCTCAATATCCATAACTCACGAGGGTCCAATTTCTTACATATAAAATGCTCAATTTGTTATTTATTCTAATCTATCATATATATATTATTTTATAATTAGATAAAATATATAATAAAATTAATTAGATTCTGATGATAGCCAATAGAAAAGAAATTCATATTATAATAGGATTCTTTGAATGTCATAATAGAAGAAACTATCCTAATAACTTATCCTAGATTCTCTACTCTCGCCTTTAAATAGACAAGACCTCTAGATCTTTAGAGACTAAACGAAGTATAAAATAGAGGATGTAGTTGAGATATTATGGTTTATTTCTCAACTAAAAATAGTTTTGTGAAAAGATAAAAAAAAAAAAGAAGGCATGTCTAGTTCACTATGATATACAAATACAGAGAACAATACATTTGCATGTAATCTTTTTTAGAAGATATCGAAAGGTACACATCATAAATCCGATCTAATATTATTTAATTTCAATCTTGACATAAAAAAATTTTCACGTTACATAACCATATCACACATTTTATGCTTATACTTAAACTCATTTTAATAATTTTAAAGGATTTCTATAAATACTACGTGCTTTAAGATTCGTGCCTTCACTTGATTGATGCGATCACAGCCGATAAGAATTTGGATCCGATAGATTCAGCCCGAGTCCAAATAGCTGGTTGACTAATTCTCAATGTTGGACCTCTTAGGAATATCCATATTGTTTTGCTACCAAGTATCAAAATCCAACATGTATTTTATACGTGAAGGAAAAAAATGAGTGCGTGACAAATATGCATTCAGAAGAGTCTGAGATGGCCTAATTAGTCGAATTAAATAATAGGTAAAGTAAAAAAAAAGAAATCATAAATATCAACCGTTCTTGGATTCAATTGTCGGATTAGAATGTGAGTTTACGACGAATGCAAGTAGGATTTAGCTCTAAAATGACAACCCAACACGTGGACGATCGGATGTCACGCCATTGCTATCCTGACACCAATTCGGATGATTCATCAACTCAGCACGTCAACCAAAAACTCCATCAAATCAATCTGACGTGTAAAATTATATATTAACTGTGACGTCCAAAGGGTCGACAGATTCCGTACGTTCGAGTAGTAGCCAATGATTTCATACAATTGTCGTGGATCTGTTAAGAGGTATCTTTGCTAGTATTTCTCTGATTGGACTTCCAACATCGAGACTTACGACATGTTTTGACAACCAACCACCAAATCTCGACGTATCGACGATCAAAATCTATCGTAACACAATCTTACTTCAGATATGTTTTAGATCGAAGAATAAGTACGACGAACGAGCATAATAAAACTTTAAGATTTGTGTCGGACGAGATAAATTAAGATTCCGTACGATGAGATGCTTATGTTGGCACGAAAATGACTGCTTTACCCCTCATTCCAGCAAATAAAACCCGAAGCACGGCGACAACGCACGAACTAAAACTTCCAAGGGCGGTGTTTGGAAACGCGAGAGAGAGAGAGAGAGAGAGAGAGAGAGAGAGAGAGGGTGGAAACCAAGAGGTAAAGGGTGGTGTGCAATGAATTGATGTTCTCAGACCGGCGTCGCTCCCACACGCACAACCTCCCCTGCCACCGGAGGCGCCGCCGTCGGCCTGACGACCAGGCGGCCACCGCCGATCGCGGCGGACCGCTCTCCACGCGGTACATACGCAAGCATGCCGGGTTCCCGTAGGAAGGCGGTGGTGGAGGACGGCCTCGTCATTCTTGGCCTCGTCACGGTGCAACTCGTCGGTGCGGCCTACATGGTGTTCCTCGGCCCCGTCCTCTCCCTCGGCATCAAGCCTTTGTTCCTTGTCACCTTCGGCAGCTTCGTTACTGCAACCCTTGTTTTCCCGTTTGCGGTCGCGTTCGAAAGGTGTGACTTTTTTATCTTGGATCGCGTCCCTCTCCTTTGATCTTTATGGGCAATGTAAAATTAGTTCTATTTGCAGGGAGAAATGGCCGTCGAGGTTAAGTCCGATGTTGATGGCTCGATTCCTTTTGCTTGCTCTGGGAGGGTAACCATTCCCCTGTCTCTGTATAAGCTTTTTCACATTAGGATTAGGAATCCGATTTATCTCGGATAAAATGATCAATATTCATGATTGTTCTTGAAATTCCCTTTCTCTTTTCATAATCTGTAGCATTCTTCTCCTCCTATATGCATGAACAATCCGTTAATTTGTATCCACGATCTTTTTAGGGTGACCACATTTCAAGCCCTGTTGTTACTGGGAGTCAAGAAAACATCCCCATCTATTGCGTCTGCCATGCCCAACCTTGCTCCAGGCATCATCTTTATCATTGCAGCTTGTCTAAGGTACCAGCTTCTCCATCTACTATTAATTTGTTTTGACTATCTAAATGTATTGATTCTTGATATTTTTTCTAATACAAGTGCATTGAGTTGCAACATGTGCAATGAGTCTCTTGGGCACAATCGCTTGACTTTGTGATTACAAGTTGAGCTTGATGCCTTCTTAGGGAAGATTGAGCATAAAATGTATCTCAGATAATTATTTTTGCCTTCATGCCATCAAAGCCAAGTCTTTGGGTTCCAATTGTTGTTGTGGTTGACCCAAATATTGCACTTGGGTAATTCTTCTGCCAGGGGATCAGTACCCCTGCATTATCTTCAAACCAAGGAAGAAGAAAAAAGAAACAAAAATGCCAACTTGGAACCATGCACACACATGAAGAACAAGGAATAAAAATAATCCAATAGATGCATTTGTGTGTTATTGGGTTCATCTAGTTCTTTCTCTATTTATTTGCACAATGGTGATCCGATTAGTTTTTGCAGGTTTGAGAAAGTTGACATGATGTACTGGTACAGCAGAGCCAAGATACTAGGAACCTTGTTGTGCTTAGGTGGTGCAGTGGCCATGAGCTTATTGCAAAGCCCTTCTGTGCCACCTCCTGAGTCACCTCAAAGATTGCATCCCTTTGGTGAAAACTTGCTTGAGAACACCTACAAGGATTGGTTCATTGGTTGCCTATGCCTCTTCGGTGCAGTTTTGGTGATTTCTTGCACAATGGTGCTGCAGGTAAATTCAACTTTCAAGTAGTTCTCTCAGCTTTGCAGATCATCCATCTTCTAATTTTGGCTAATATCCCAAAAAGTCTTCATAAACAAGATCAGAAACTATTAATGCTTTTGTGAGCAATGTGAGAAAAGCCGCATATACCAACACAAGACTAGCTAAATTTATAGCACGAATGTAAAATAAAAAAGAAACTGAGAAAATCCCTTATTGAGAATTTTGATTACTACAAAGTACAAGCCCTTCTTCATTTCCTAAAACTTATTCATGTCTCCTTGCAATGTATAGATAGAGAAAAGAAGATCAATAGTCCATAAGGTGCCAACTTAGGTACTAATTGTGCTTATGCAATGACATTAACAGTGATAACATTGTGCATACACATTGCAGGCTGCTACCATGATGCAATTTGAAGCTCCTTTAACTTTGTGTTCCATAACCTCTTTGCTGGGAGCATTTCTTACAGCTGCTGTGCAATTCGTAGTCGAAGGAAGAATCAACATTGGCAATCCTGTCATCAAACTCGAGAGCATTGTCGCCATTGCAATCTTGGTATGCAGGAACATCCATCACATCTTCTTGTATATTTCTTGATGTATGGCAACTGCCAGAGATAAAGTCTTCAACGGTGGTTGCATGCAGGGAGGCATGACCACTGCTGCATGTATCGCATTCCAAACATGGGCTGTGAAGCGGAAGGGGCCAGTTTTTGTGTCCATGTTTAGCCCTGTTCAAACAGTGTGCTCCGGGATTCTATCAGCCATAGTATTACATCAAATGATCAAAGTGGAAAGGTATGCCATCGATCAAAGAAATCATAATTCTAGAAACTAATGGTGAAATTAATGTAGCCTGTTCTTGGAATGCAGCTTAATGGCCATGTTCTTCATGTTCTCTGGCCTTTACATGGTTCTTTGGGCGAAAGGGAAAGAAGATTTCCTTCTAACGGAGGTTGCATCCACAGCAATATCGACACAACTTGATGCAGACATCGAGAAACCCTTGTTATCTTAAATCTCTTTTCAGTACTTTTCCATACACATTACCAGTCCCATCCTCTTCTGTA